TTCTGCTTAAACTTTCTGCATTGAGGTCCCTTTTCTTCAATAATCCCTCTATCAGATTGTCGGCTACTTATTTTCTGTCTTGACATTGTTTGTAGATTCTACAACTCGAGAAAAGGTTGCAGGACCAATTCGCTGTTCGGCGTGCTTTAGAAAATGCATTAGGCTCTGGAGTGTCTTCCTATGAGAAAAATGAACCGTCTACAGTTCCAAAGGTAGGTACTACAAATTATATGATAATCAAAAGGAAATTCTCTTTAAGTTTGATGTTTTTTTTGTAATTTTTCTTCACTCTATGCCTAATTGCCTATTACTTGGTTTCAGCCTGCAACAGATTTGATAAAGGAAATTGCAGTGCTAGAGTTGGAAGTTGGGTATCTGGAGCAGTACCTTCTGTCACTGTACAGAAAAGCTTTTGATCAGCAGGTGTCTACGGTATCTCCAAATGCTAAGGATCACCAAGCGTCATCAATTTCTCCGACTGTAAAGAATCAGAAAATATCCTCTACGTCTCCAACTGTCAAAGATCAAAGACTCAAGTCTCCTCCAGTTATTCCACGTCGACTTTTTGTAGATGAAGATGCAGCTGAAACTGCAACAAAGGTTGAACAATCAACATTTCAACCAGTTCCTAGGACGCTTTCTAACACATTCAAAGAAACCGGTGAAAGCAAGATACTTGACTCTAATGCTCATCGCTGCCACTCCTCTTTATCACATCGTACAGCACACCCTACTAGGCCTTCTCCGGACTCTGTAGCTAAAGCTTTGCGTGCATGTCATTCTCAGCCATTGTCCATGTCTGAGGTAGCTCTTTCTGCCTTATGACTGTCAATCAGAATGTACTTCCCAGTAGAATATAAGCTGAATTTCTATGAAGTTGGTGAACTTATTACTTGCAGCATTCTGCTTAGCTGTTCTCTGAATTACATGAATTGAATTATTTAAAGAAACCTGATCCGTAAAAGGAGTAGTACTTATTTGTGCATAACATAATCATATGTTTCTTTGCGCAGTTTGCAGCCTCAAATGTCATTAGCCTTGCTGAGCATCTTGGCACACGTATCTCAGACCATGTTCCAGAGACTCCTAACAGAATTTCAGAAGATATGGTGAAGTGCATGGCAGCCATATTTTGCAAGTTGGGAGAGTCACCTACAGCAAACAATGGCCTCTCATCACCCAATTCTTCGTCATCCTCGATGGGTGCATTTTCTCCTCAGTATCAATGTGATGCATGGAGTCCAGGTTATGGAAAAGATTCATCTTTTGATGCGCGTCTGGATAATCCATTCAATGTGGACGGGCTTAAGGAGTTTAGTGGTCCTTATAGTACTATGGTTGAGGTCCCATGTATATATAGAGAGAGCCAGAAATTGGGAGAAGTGGAACATATGTTACAGAATTTCAGGTTAGGCTTCCATGATATGTATGCTACCCATTGCTAAGATGGGGAAACAGGGGAATATTTAAAGAATTGGACTTTACAACTCAAATGTTTCTAACTTGATTATGTTTATTTTTCTTAATTAAGGTCACTCATTTGCCAATTACAAGAAGTAGATCCGAAGCAGTTGAAACATGAGGAGAAAGTTGCATTTTGGATTAATGTTCACAATGCTTTGGTGATGCATGTAATGATCACACTTTCAGTACACTTGATTATTTAATTTTATTAACATTGACCTTTGTACACTGTATGACATTTTATGCTCTGTGCATGTAGGCATTTCTAGCGTATGGAATTCCACAGAATAATGTGAAGAGAGTCTTCTTACTCTTGAAGGTAAAAGACAGTGAATAGAATTCTTTTGGATGGAGAAGCTGTAACTTTTTGTTGTATTAATTTCTCTTGCATCTATGCAGGCTGCTTACAATGTTGGGGGTCATACTATAAGTGCTGACACCATTCAGAGCTCTATCCTGGGGTGTAGGATGTCTCGTCCAGGGCAGGTTCGTTCCTAGATTGGTTTTTGTTCCTGCATAAAGATGTCTGACATCTCATATTTTGAGCTGTCATTAAATAGTTGAACTAAGTGATGATGAGTGTGATTAGTTTTGCATCCTCTAAATCTTTGCTCCTTTGGAAAATAAGGGTTATGCAGGCAACTTATTTTAGACTAAAACTTGAGTGCAGGGACCTTATTTGTTCCCATAGCAAGTTATAGCTGCAAGTTTCCCAAAATTTTCAGCTAAAAATTTCACATCTGAGCACAGTATTTTGATATTTTAATTTCTTCAACAATTGTTAGTATTCTGCAAGTAGATTCTCAATTAATGGGTTCTGATTCTATGATGGAATGTGCTGCTTGAATGCATTTTTCGTTTCTTTACAATTAGCACTTACACAAATCATACAACAATTAAACTAGACCTAAAAACTGAAAGTAGTGTTGGAAAATCACTGATACTCGTCTGCATGTCCAAGTATCATAGGTCGACCCTGTCATAGACTTCCCGGCCAAAAACTTTCAGAGGATTCATCCTTTTCTAGTTGCAGGAAAGAGTAAAGGTTTTTGGGGTAGTATATTGGTTGGGCATTCTGTAAAACAAATACATTTTTTTCAAGTGTGTTTATCAGTTGATCGTTTCTTTTATTTTACACCCCTATCGTTCCTGTGTCAGCCTCAGCATGAACTATCTTTGTGACAATCAGATTGTAATTTAGACTAGATTTTATCTATGCAATCTTAGTAGAGTATTCAATTTATTTTTCTCTTATTCGTGATTTTCCAGTGGCTACGCATGCTGCTTTCTCCTAGGACAAAATTCAAAACAGGAGATGCCCGCCAGGCTTATGCAATCGAGCATCCAGAACCCCTACTACACTTTTCACTATGTTCTGGAAGCCACTCTGATCCTGCGGTACATTACTTATCTCAAACCATTTTTTCATCTACTGCAGCACTCATTCTTTATGTTCCATTTAACCAACTTATGAGTTATTATCTGAAAAAATTTACCTGTTTTTTCTTGTTTTGTAATTTACAGCTTCGTGTATATACCCCGAAAAGAGTTTTGCAAGATCTCGAATCTGCTAAAGATGAGTACATTCGTGCTACCTTTGGTGTACGCAAGGACCAAAAGGTTGTCCTGCCAAAGGTAGTCGAGGCATATGCCAAGGACACTGGTTTATGCTCAGCCGGTATCATCGAAATGATCCAACAATCACTCCCTGATCCACTAAAGAAGAGTCTTAAGAAGTGTCAATCTGGAAAATCTCGCAAGAGCATTATCGAATGGATGCCTCACAATTTCACCTTCCGCTACTTAATATCAAAAGAATTGATAAAGTGATATGTTTAATTGACAACCTTCTTATTCATCGATAGTACTAAATTAATTTTTTGGTTCTTAGTAGGAGATTTCATCCTGTTATTTTGTTGTTTGAGTATAAATTATGGTTTTGTACAAAATGAAAAGGAGATTATTAGAGGGGGTAGTATTAGGAAGTACAGAACAGAAAGTGGTAGCCTCCACTTTTGTAAATGTAGTGATTTTTATCTATTATTTTAGTTTGGAAATGAAATTAATGTGTTCTTTATTAATTTTATATTTTAAGACATGAAATAATGATATTTGTTTTTATCATTTGATATGAGATTGATTTGTCTGGTATTACATGTGTCGTTATTCATCAGTAAGACAAAGATTGAGCATTGCTAGATTTAACAGGTCATGAAACAAGATTGATTGAAATCAGTGATTGATTTTCATGTGATTTGACTAGGTTTAACAAATAACAACAAGACAAATGATCTTCAGTATTTTGGTTTGATTACTTGAATCTGCTTAAACTAGCTTGTCGATTAAGCCAAAGGCTAGAATCGTAGCGGTTGACAAAACTTAAGATATGGTGCTTTATCATGACCAGGATAGTGTTAAGAGTGAAAGAAAGTCGAGTTTGATTAGCTCCCATGACATACACAACCTGAGCGTGGCCCGAACACGACATGGCCGAAATGACATACTGGACCTTTCAGCGTGTTTTACCACTCCCACCTGATGGATGACCGGCCAAAGTGACTCCGAACATGCTTAGGCCATGGATTCATGTGTGAATAATCCTAGTAAACGATCCAATGTGAGGATTTTACATGTTCATAAACAATATTTGTAAAGCCGTGTTATCTGAATATCTCCATATACAATCTCCGAGAAATGATTTTGGCACACTTGTATGTGAGATCACATTTTTTTATGCTATTCTCACAAGGGATGTGCTAAAATCAATTAGTGGTGTGCTAAAATTAATTTCCACAATCTCCATAAGACCGAGTTAAATGTGATTATCCTCTTAAGGTCCTCTACACTATGACCACTTTACCATCCACTACCTGATTAGAAATTAAAGTGACTTCTATGATAGACCAAATGAACACCAAAATCAGATGTATGAACAATGAAAACAGCTTGAAACCAAACCAAACCAAACCAAATCTATGATGGTCACCATATTCTACCAACCAACAAGGCAATATGGGCCCATTTACCATCCTCAAATGAAAAAGAACAAAACTTTAGTTGACTTTAAACCTTACAAATTGTGGACTTAATACTTATTTACTGTTACACTCATTTAATTTGTCATCAATCAGACAACAAAGTAGCACTTACCATCATTTACTTACTTTAAATTACTTTCTCTGAGTTTGTACTCATCACTCGTGGAAAATATTGTCTTCCATTTGTGGCTCAGTTTGGTTATGGGCCTCATGGTATATATTCTCCTTTGCCCTACTTTATCCTTTTCTAGATTTAGACAGTCAAACAAAAGTAGATTCTCCATCCAAAAGTATGTGAAAGACTTTTGATTCTTGTAGAAAGTGTGTATGTATATTCATTGAAGAGTGGTGTTGTTATGTTTGGAATCCAGCTTAGCTGCATGCCATGGTGGGGCTAAAAATCGCGGGCCGTAGAGTTAAAGGAACAATTCGATTAATTTTAGTTGCTTAACTGTTAGACAATTAGCCAGACTTAAATGAGAATTACAATAGATAGTATGTACGTATAAAAAAGTTTATATTACCATTTTATGTTATAAATGTGCAACACATTACAATTACAAACACTGTTGTACAATTACAAACCAACCCACACCACATTTTTAATACACATGCACATAAAAGAAAATTAAAGGCCTTAAAGAAATGTAGATGGCCAACAATAGCACTAAGTAAGACATAGCAAGTTTTTGTCATCCTTAGTCAATTTATAATGCTTCAAAGTTTCATGGCACAAATGTTCCTTTGGGGTAGTATTAACACGGCAGGAGGCCAGGCCGTAGAGGTGCACAATAATTCAAGGTTCAACTAGCGGCGAAAGCTTCTGATAGGGCGTGCTGGCTCAACCTCATGCTCCTGAAGCTGCACTAGCTTGTAGATTGCTGCTCCTCCAAGAGCACCAAGAGTTGGCGCTACCAAGTATATCCACACTTCTTTATAGTTTCCTGCTGCAACTGCCGGGCCTAGAGTCCTCACAGGATTCATCGACGCACCACTTGATGGACTGCACCATTAAACAGAATTTATACTCAATTTCAGAAATTCACTCTTGTTTCTAAGAAAAGCACATGTTCAATAACTCGCGTTGTCCTTATACTGTTCTGTTAACTAATCTGTTTATAAGTTGCACAAAAATTACATAGCTTTTCCTGCGTGCTACTTGCACCAATTGACTAAATCAATAATTGTGCAACAGAATCAATAGTTGTTAAAAAAAATGCATAAAAACTTACCCTGCAACAAGAATGTTCAGCATAACTGTGGCTCCAACTGCAATACCAGCTAGTTCCCCAACCTGTTGCAACGTAAACCACGACTCATTAGAAGATTTCCTTACATTAGAACTCATGTGGCAAAAGATACCTAGATGGTGTACTTAGCATCAGAAAGAAGTCTATTACTATAGCAAGACGTAAGATCCGATCATTTGCTACATTGATGAAATTTAGGCTTTGTTCTTTCCACCCTAAGGATATATGTTTCCTACAAGTTAAACTAATTTCCAATTTCGCAGTTGGGCTACTAACGTTCAATCTACAGCTAAAATAAGTTCATATAAGTTCCGATAAGCTCCAATGAGTTAAAATAAGTTCAGATAATGGTTTTGTGAGGGAAAGCAAATGAAGCCTTAACAGTATATGAAACTCTTTAACAATTACTTTTAATACTATCAAAACAAATTTAAAACTTGTAATATTGTATATGATAATAACTTACTGCTCGAGTGTCAGTAGCAACAGCAGTGACAACAAACATGAGGTTGAAGGTAATAAGGAATTCCAGGGCAAACGCTTGTCCAGTACCCACTGAAGGAACTGTAACTCCACCTGACATGAACGGGTGAAAGACACCCTTGAGGGCGAGAGAAGCCAGGATCGAAGCAGCAACTTGAGCTGCAATATAGGCAGGAACTTGGACCCATGGGAAATGGCGAAGAGCTGCAAAGGCGATGGTGAGAGACGGGTTCAAGTGAGCTCCTGATATGTGACCTGTTGATAGAATTATGATCATGACTGCTAGTCCGGCGCAAGCAGCATTTCCTATCAATGTCTCTGCACCATTGTACTTCTCGTTTACAATGGGACCAGCTGTTGCCGCGAAGATTAGGATGAAAGTTCCCACAAACTCTGCAACAAGCTGATTACACAAATGACCAAAAATTAGTAAATCTCACATTGAATAAGGCTTATTAATTGTAACATCCGATTCCCGAATGTAATTTTTTTTATCAACGCTTTTGGAACACTAGTTATAACAGCTACTCCCTCCGTCCCTAAATTACATTCCTCTTTCTAGCATTTATTCCTCAAATAATAGAGAGGAAGAGGAATGTAATTTAGGGACGGAGGGAGTAGTTTAAAGCCATTGACATTAATTTTCATGGATGACAATGTATTCTCTAGAACACCAACATCATTAGTACTAAGTAAAAGACATTGTGACTTCATAATTCATATATTAAACACACTTAACACTCGCGATAGACTACGAGGAAGTTAACAATATAGAAGATCTATTGTACCCTTTTATAGTAATCCAACAATGCATTATCATCTAAATTGCAGTTATAACATCTGATTTCACAGTGAATATTAGAAAAGTTAACAATTTCCTAATCAATCAATCAAAGCCTTAATCCCATAAGTGGAGTTGGCTATAACCAAATTTGATATGAGATTGATCTAAATTGACCAAAAGCTTCCTCCTTTTCCCCTACGATTCAATGTCTCATCCTCATGCAAATCCATATACTTCATATCTTTGTTAACTCCTTCTAATCAAGTCATGTTTGATCTCCCTCTCCCTCGTATAAACCCTCCACTTTTCCAATTAATTTCCTAATGGATACTAATAATAATTAAGCAAGTATGAACAAGTTCCTCAAAGCAGTAATTAGCTGCACGTGCCCAACATTGGTTCTTTCAATTTTTTCAAGTCTTTCATTTCATCAAATTTAATTTTATGGGTAACCAAACAAGTACAGAAGTACTTAGTTTATGTACATTTATATATGAAGCCTAGAAAGCCGCCAATAAAGTTGCATATACATGTACGCTACACAGTACCCACGTTACGTCACGCGGAACTAATTTAAATGCTAAGCATATAATCCTCACACCAAGTATTAGTTAAATAAGTCATCTGATTACGAACAGAAAATGCTTAGAAACGAAAGAATAATTCAACATTACGTTAGCTTAAATGATATAACAACTCCTATAATAACTACAAAAATATGACACCAAGTGTTCAATCCTCTAATACATGACAATAGATCTCTCCGTTGGATAATATAGTATCGATCCCATGGACCCATGATCAGTTGAATCTGAAAGGAAAGCTCTAACCAGTTGAGCTATCCTGCACTCTCTGCCTAGGCGTCTATTTTTATTTTTATACATTCGTATACTTAAATACAACGAAATAATATCATAGTATCATTATTGTGGCTACTTGGCTGTCTCTTTCATCAACATTTGTTCACACCTTTTACCTCAACAATAGACAAATAATGCGAGTTCATGTGGTAGCTACTACCTAGCACAATGTTTAGACACAAAGCGCAAAAATCGGGTGACTTTACTTTATTACTTAAAATAATTGAAACTCTGAATCTGGTGATAAAGATGATCAAATTGTAATTAAGGACATAATTAAACACTAATATAGGTAGAATGTTAAATTTTATTAGTTCTTGCCACCTTTAACTTTATAACTAGTATCAAGTACTAAACATGACACCATCAAAACTAAAATTTTCACCGTTAAAAAATAGAACTATTTTTTTGCATTACTTACTACTTGTATTATATATATTCATTATATGTATGGCTGTGAATGAGTCATAGTTTTATTACTTGGTGATAATTGAGACGACTTTTTTCTATTAGTTGTAATAAACCGTCGGCCACAATCTTGATACACTATTGATTTTAACTTTAAGTGTTATAAAATATTAAATCTTTGAGGTTAGACAACAAAAAGCGTCTAAATTTATCAATTTTATATCGAAATATAGTTATTTTTTTCGTTCTAATTCAATGAATTGATCAGTAATTCAGAATCGTACACCTATTTGCATTTCTTTCAAAATTATTGAAGGCGACATAAAAACTAAACAAAATTTTATATTGTTGTACCACCTCATTACTTAACTCTATTTAAATAATTTAGTACAAGAATGAAATTAAAAAAAAAAAAAAAAACATAGATGAGTTTATGTCATACGTAAACTTACGACCTTGGACTTATTACTCTATCATTATGAAATCTCGCCCGTCTTATGAAATACTACAAAATTATACTCTAAAATTAACGGAAGTTATTTTTAACAAAAAAAAAAAAAAAAAACCAAAATTATAATGCAAGCAATTTAACTCGTATATAAATTTTTTTTTACTACACTATGATTTTAAAAAATTAAAATAATAAAAGAAAAACATAAGCCGTTAAAGTGGGGCCAACAAAAGATACCTTTCGGGTGAGGGTGACGTCGGGAACTTTAAAATCAGTGAAGCAAGCTGGGCCCGACCCGAATCCCAACGGGCCATCCGGAAAACAGTTGCACCTTGGCATCGAAGATCGCTCGTACGACAGTGAGTCAACTCGCCGACTCGATATCAACGGCGCCGGTGTTCCTTCCGGTGTCGGAGGCACCGATAACGACACTTCCGCCGGTGGCTCGGCTTGAGGGTTCATAGTGTGTGTGTTTTTTTTTTGGTGGATTTTTTTTTTTTTTTTTTTTTTTTTTTTTTTTGGGTGATGGAAAACTAAAGGATTGTGGGTTTAAATTTACATAATTTGAAGGTTTTTATAAAATTTTGTTTAAGGCTTCGTTTGAATGCTAGCCACCGCGAACAACAATGAAAATAAGATAAAAGCGACTTAGAGCTAGATAGACATAATCATAATGTCAAGATGATAATCAAAAGAAAAATATTTTTTTGGGTTTTTTTTTGGTAAGATCAAATAGAAGATATAAACTTAAGTTACATAATTTGAAGGGTTTTTATTAAATTTGATTTACGGTGTATTAATTTTGAAAGATAGAGTAGCCACGGAGACCTAACTCAAATCGAAAGCGAAGAACGAGGATTATAATTTGATTGATGGATATGAAAACTCGAACAAAACAAGCATGTAGATCGAAATAATGATCAATAAAGCTAAAGATTGAGGAAGCGAAGAGAGTGAGGGAGAGGAGGAAGAAGTTGACGAGAAGTTGTAATAAGAAATGAAATGGGTTAGCAAAATGATGTGACTGGATGTTAAGGGTGAACCTCTCGTGTCTTTAAATCAATCAAAAAAGTGAGATGGATTCTTTCATTGTATTATTATTTTTGTTTAATTTAATGTAAACCTCCAATCTGGAAAGTCAATTGTAACACTCTCTTCTTTCCTCCCACCTTTCCTTGTTATCCTTTTATTAGTACGTACTAAGAGTATTATTATAATATTATATACACGTATATTCAATTCTATTATTATGAGTAATGTATGGATGGTTGTTAGTTGGTTATTAGACAGATTATTGTGCGTTTTATTCATTTGATTTTTACTTATATAATAATTTATTTAATACTTGTATAATATAATATGCAACTAATATATATTCACTTGATTTCACTTATTACTAGAACAATGACTATATACTTAAATTAGACTTATATTTGAACTTATTATTTCATTCATATATGAAGTGTAAACTGTAAAAATGCATGGTAAACAAATTAGAGCTTTAATGGGTAAAGTTGTAGGAATTAGGCTCATTAATGGTTGTGAAATACCTAATGGTTGTTAGTGTAGTGGTGATTGAGATTGCCGCACTTGATAGAGAATGAAGATTGCGTGTTTGGTCCGATCTCCCGCAACAACAATTGAAAGGGGATTGGAACCTAACCACCTAGAATTGATCCTTGAAATCGGAATAGCCTAAAGGATGAATCAAGTGGAACACCAATATAAAATAAAATAATACATAGTATATGGTTGCGAAATAATATGACGGTACATTCTAATTGAATACAAGAGATGAGTGATGAGATAATCTAAATAAGAGTACCAGAGTAAAAAAAAAAAAAAAAAAATTGCTCTTGGTATCATCAATGCTAATAAATAAATGATCGAAAACCAAGTACTATGATTTATTTTGGGGTTATATTCCGTTGATAAGTTATTCACTTTGATTTTGGGTTGATTCCATTGTTTTACTTTTTGCAAAGTCTTAATTATTCTATTGATAAGTAATTCTCTTCAATTTGGGTTGATTCCTCTGTATATATTGCTTTTTGCAAAGTCTTATTTATTCCATTGATAAGTAATTCGTTTCAATTTAGGTTGATTCTACTATATTATTTTTTACATAGCCTTATTTTATTCCGTTATAAGTTATTTGCTTGAACATTGGGTTGATCACACTGCATGCAGTACTTCAATTTGCAAAGTTTTAATTTAAATGTTTGTTATATGATATTTTAATCACATTAACATTTGGGTTTGGTAAATTTGGATATACAATTTTTTAGGTTTAGATCGAGTACATTATTGATTTAACAAGCGGTCACTTATGTAATGCATATATAACTCTAATCATCAATATATAATATATATGCAATTAAAAGTTGTAAACATTGATGTAAAGATAGTACCGACATCGTTAGGGTTTGTCCACTAAAATACATTACACTGTTAGTTATCCATTATTACGTACGTATATCAACTTACTCTCCATAACGACCTTAATCACGGTCACATGGAGAGCTCAGAGCTGCTTTCGACTACGTACGCACCTGTGGCCTACGAAGTCAACTTGCCACCTATGTTGATAGGTGGCACTAGCTTGGTCGTTTTCCCATATATACCCAAGCATAATTCATTATTAAGGTACGATCGATCTTTATCTCTCTACCTCTCTCTTTCTCTTAAAACACCTTCTTATCTCTTCTCTTATTCTTCTCATCAAATTGCTGACTTTAGCATTGGAGAGGTTATCCCTAAATAATTCCCCGAATTAGCTAATTTGCATTGACTGTGCAGGTACTTAATTGGCCGATAAACCTTTTCGGATCCTAAGACTCAAGTTACCGGAGCTCACCTGGTCCAGAACAATTGATATTACTATACAACTCTCCATAAATCAATAAAATTATTCTTCGGTTAAAAACAAAAATCTACACTTTATTTATATACTAAAGTTGACCTAGTTATTAATTGACTAATTTTTTTTTCCCCTTGAAGAAATCGTTAATTGATTCATATACAAATGAGAATGGAATTATTTTCAACTTATGCTTTAAAATTATCAATTTTTCCTTTTGTCAAAAAAAAAAAAAAAAAAAAAAAAAAATCAATTTTTTCCATAAATATGTGTGGATATTAATAATCAAAGTTAAATATTTACAAATTAAAGGGTAGCATGACTAGCTAGCATCATATTTTAAAAAGAGGAGTATAATTTTGTTATTACTTGCTTTACAATTAATTATTATCTTGAGGAAAATTGTAACACTACTTGTATGTGCGACCAAAATCATATCGTAGTGTAACTAATCTCTAAAATTAGCTTGCTGATGATCTTATTAGGTGTTTCATTAACTGAGGATTAAAAAAAAATGTACTTATTGCTTACTTTGCGTTTGCCTTTTGCAATACTTAATTACTTATACTTTGTATTAATATAGGAGTCTTACACGATTTTGTTTGTTATATACTCATTCTCTTCCTTCATGCGAGAGCATGCAAATGCTTGGATCTTAAAACTTCCTTCTTCTTCTTCGTCTTCTTCTTTTTTGTTTATATATTTTTTTTAATTATTTATTGAAGGTCGATAGACAGGGATTAGTTTTGCAAATCAAATAAATAAGAATCAAATATTTCCATTAAGGGTTAATGAATCAAATATTATATGGTGCAATTAAGAATTAAACCCCACATCTATTCAAGCAATTATTAGCCATGGAATGAGGGAAATGCACATGATTTCATCATTTATTGAAAGTTTTTCATTATATCTACTAGATTTAAGAGCACATAATATACCGACTCACCGGTTTAGAACCTTTAATTTCATACATCAATCCAATCCAAATTAATGGATCGGACTACACACTTAGAATCTTGCGTCTTTGAGAGTAAGGAAATATAAGGGCATCCCCATCCTCAAACCGTGATAGGAATTTAAATCCATTGAATCTCTAACCAAAAAATTAAAATGTCTTTTACTACCACTAGATCAACACTTGATTGATTAATTTGTCTCTTCCACTTTAGAATTGAAAGAGTCACTTATAGACTACATTATTGACTTTATTGTACTCAAAACTATTTCCATGTTCTTTTTCCTATAGTAGTAAGCTAGGTATATGTAGTTTTTCTTTTTAAAGTAAGCTAGCTAGGTAATTATGTTCTTGTTCATTGAATTGAATTGGTATATGTGCGCTATGCAAATCTATTTTATTTGACTTGTTTGGAAATTAAAAGAGCTCCAAATTATTCCACTGGCTCCATATTTTCTTTTGGGTTTTTGCTAAGAGATATCAAGGGATTACAATAATAAAGACGAAATTTAATCTCAAATCTTAATTACTAGTAGATAACTTCCTCACTATTTTAAAACTAGTACTCTGTAGTTTAGTTGATGATACATTGGTGAGATTGTGTTTGTTTATCATTTATCAAGTCAATTTAAGTATGTGAAGTGTGATTTTGAAGCAAGATTATGAGAGTAGGCCACGTTCCCCACTTAACCATATTTAGTCCTCTTTTATAATTTTGTTCATAGTTGGTGATGAGACTGATGACAAACTCATATTGGCATTTAATTCATTTTATTTTATATCTTATATATTTATAATCATGAATTTTAACGCATGGCATTGCGTAAAAGAACATCATATATCATTTTTACTACCCTTAAAAAAAATTTAAGTCATATTTTGAATAATATATATGAACTACAATGAGTTGAAACAATGGTCAACAAAAATAATAATACTAAGTAAAAAAAAAATGCAATGAGTTATAATATGATAGGTTTCAAAAAAAAAGTTATAATATGATAACTACTCGTAGTTTCAAACATAAATAATACTCTCGTTTCGTTTATGTTAGTTACTGTCAAATGAGTAAAGTGTGTCAATAATTCAAAAATAAAAAGAGTACAGAGGTTTTTTAGTGTGGCAAGCCACATGGTGCGGCACGGTTACTTGTATTATGAGGTTACTTGTATGGGTTACTTGTATTCTGAGTAACTCCAGACCGAAATCCCATACCAAATCATTAACACCCTACAAGTAACCCCTGATCAAAACCAATAACAGCCATACAAGTAACCCTAGAATACAAGTAACACCTGACAAAACCAGTAACACCCTACAAGAAACCCCGGCCGAAACTAGTAACACCCATACAAGTAACCCCAGAATACAAGTAACACCTATAAGTAACCCCTGACAAAACCAGTAACACCTTATAAGTAACCCTGATCAAAACCAGTAACACCCATACAAGTAACCCCAGAATACAAGTAACACCTACAAGTAACCCCTAACAAAACCAGTAACCCTTGCCGCACCATGTGGCCAGCCACATACATAAATTTGTAAAAAGAGTATACTAGAGGATGAAGTTGAATTATTACCATAAACAAATTAACGTTCTAAGTGTACATAGGCTAATTGACAAAATGACTCAATTATACAAAAATCCAATTAGCATAACGTACCTCATGTAAAAAAAAAAAAAAAAAAAAAAAAAAAAAAAAAAAAAAAAAAAAAACACCTGACAAAACCAGTAACACCCTACAAGAAACCCCGGCCGAAACTAGTAACACCCATACAAGTAACCCCAGAATACAAGTAACACCTATAAGTAACCCCTGACAAAACCAGTAACACCTTATAAGTAACCCTGATCAAAACCAGTAACACCCATACAAGTAACCCCAGAATACAAGTAACACCTACAAGTAACCCCTAACAAAACCAGTAACCCTTGCCGCACCATGTGGCCAGCCACATACATAAATTTGTAAAAAGAGTATACTAGAGGATGAAGTTGAATTATTACCATAAACAAATTAACGTTCTAAGTGTACATAGGCTAATTGACAAAATGACTCAATTATACAAAAATCCAATTAGCATAACGTACCTCATGTAAAAAAAAAAAAAAAAAAAAAAAAAAAAAAAAAAAAAAAAAAAAAAAAAAAAAAAAAAACCACATTCATACCAAATCCACGTATAATATATATCGTTCTCCGATTAAAGAAGAGCACTATAATAATTGTAATGATGTTGTTGTGAAGTTGAGAACTAATAATAGTCGTCCCCACTTTAAGAAAAAACCAAAATAAAACTAGGTCT